GCTACCAACAAAGGTGAAAGAATAATATTTGATTGATCTGTCTTCAAATGATAAATTTAATTTACTACTTTTGTGTATTGGCGAAACATAGTTTTTTATAATTAAATTTTTGCTCTTAGTCCCTTGCTATATCAATATTGTCCTAAGGCGTGTTTCTATTATTGGGCCTGTAACTGGATCAAAAGCGGCGACAATTTTTCCTATGTGCGATACCTAGAAGATGAAAACGTGCGCAAAGTAAACATCCATAAACGAATAAAAAGGCTAAACTATGCACTCCTATGTCTGGTGTGAGTCAATTGGAAAAGTCCAGAAACACTTATGATTATTTCTCTGCAATGGGTGTTTAAGCAGGCTGTGGGCTATAGGCTTGTGTCACGTGGGTGACCGGTTGCTCACACGAAGTCCTGTTCTTTTAGAGACCGATCCGACATCCAGTGATCAGGTTCAGGGATCTAAGATAATGAAACCTAGTAATTAGGTCGAGAGCTGAGTGTTCCTTCTTGTTATTGGAGATGCCAGGCAGTTTATCTCTTGTTCTATTGTAATGCATATGAAATCGCGCAGGCACTTGCTGATTGCTACCAACAATGTCCCTTCGATGCCCACCCTGTATTGATAATCCGTGGCGGACGTGACATGCACGAGCTAGCGAGACTCCACACGTCGGCTCGGTATTTAAAAATTAATTAAGTAAATTCTATTGACTAATACTGTATAACATGTATTCCGGCGCTACAAACCACGACATAATTATTAACAAATTATACAAAAAAAAAACGCCAAGTCTGTCTTTTTAACTGTTGTTCTTAATCGACTTTACAAGCGGAAGAAACGGTCGAATAGCTTTGGAGCGCTTTTCCTCACACACACAGACACACACACACACACACACGTGTACATGCAGACACACACACGGGGAAAGAGAAGCAGCGTCCTCCGACCGCTTTCTCACGTCAGTTTATAATATATATATAATCGTACTTATAAAAATATTATAAAGCATTATAAAGTTGTCCATTTCCTCCGTCTCTATACACCAAGGCAACATTGATTCGTCATTGGTTATACTGTATCCAACTCAATCCTTCTGCCATTAGTCGATGACTAATTATTACACAGAAGATGAGCAAAAAGCAACCCTAAAAAATAAGTGCAAAATCAAAATTTGGCCATCCAGGCTTTCACTACCTCAGCTAAAGACGTCGAGATACGACGGACAAGAAGCGAAACAACATGACATGACATTTGTGACGTGTATACCCCTTCCCCTTCTTCAGTTCTCGTTCCCCAGATACCCCTGTATTTATGTTTTTCTTTTTGTTTCAGGCGTAACATACGTCTGTTAGCTGTTACGGCCATTGCGTCAAATGCTTACGGCCAAGTCGTTGCGACTGAGCAACGATGTTCAAGATGATAGCGGAAATGATGACGACGTCTTCTTTGAAGTAAACGTAGAAGTTCTATCCCTCGTTGACGTTTTCGATTTTTCTAACGACAAAGCAAACTAAAAATCGAAATCGGAAATTATCGATGGGTGGCTTTCAGATGGACATCGTTCATAACGCCGGCTATTTTCTGTTCTCGGCTAATCGCAAAGGTGACAGCTGCAAAGACCTATACGAATTATAATTGGCCAATGCAAATCAATTCCAGTAAATACTGAGCAAGTGAGCAACGTTCAAAGGTGTACGAAATTTAATGTTACTATTATCAAGCAATAAACCGACAATCTATTCGGGCTACTCGACCCTAGCCAGATAAGTGGCCCGAATAGAGATGTTCACGCTTTGTAAAATAACGTGTGATCTAAGGTTGGTTTCGTTCTTACCTTGGTCGTCGTTTTTTTATTTAGGAAAATACAAAGGCGAAGTTATTAAAGTTACATTATGAGATGAGATGGGGCTTGATTCATTTCGCGAATTGAGCTCAGGTTAGAAGCGGATTCTTGTGCTCTTCGAATGTATTCGTAATGGAGGTTCAAAGTCAATTTTCATCTCCAGAATAGAATCCACACCTGGTAATCGTTGGTTAACGGTTGGTCCATCGACCTGACAAAAAAACTGCCTGCCGTATCTCTATCTGAAATTTTTACCTGAATTATATTATACGGTTGATACCAGTCTATATAGAACGAGACCATTTTAGCATTGGCTTATAGAAGTAAAAGTTGTCCAAAGCAAGGACAACAGATATATACTACTAACTAGGCCCAGATAAGCTAATAATAATATTGTACAAACTATTTTTCCAATATTCCTCACTTAAAATTGTTGCGTAACTCTGTGGAAATGTTTACCTTATATCATATTTAGCTTAATAAAAGCTTTTGTGCTTATCAAGTGCGTGTTACTCTACAACATTCAACAAGCTTAAGCGTCTTATGTACTCGTATAGCTTATCTTCTAGATGCAAAGCCAGATGCAATGGTGAACTACCAAGATTTAAAGTTGGTACTGACGTTCGGTGAGATCGGTGATTTCAGATCACGAGTCGAATAGCTACATCGGAACCAATAAACTGTTTTAACAAACCTCTTTTTACGCTTCAGTGTATGCTAGCACTAACATGTTTGTTCTTTTGGCTCAAGAATTCGATATGTCTTATATGAAACGAAATCTGTATCAAGAAAACATCACCAGGAATAAAAAAAACATGCCCATCTAAAAAATGTTGCCTTGGTGGCAGGCTTGCAAATGTCAAACGAACATTTGATAACTTGCGTGAAATTTACGTTGTTGAAGTTATATTGAAATCATGTAACCATGTAAAAACTTCGACGCTACCCTTATACCGACTCGTTCAAAACACAAGTTGGGTAGAAGATAGCATTTGACAGCGTTTGGAAGTAGCAAGATAGAGGTCACAGTATACATTTACATTGATGTGCATCCATATAGATTATTTAATCAGATACATACTAATGGTCGCCTATGCCTATAGAAACGTACGCCGCAGCCATCCGGTTTACTTACAGGGCTCAAGCACATCATCTGTACGCTCTGCACGTCGCTTCGACGTCAACTCGTTAAATCTGATTCTAATTTATTAAAAGCTATTGCCACTAGAAGAGGCGGCATTGTTTTTGCCATGGCCTGACTTGTCGCACCTGGTATCAGCGGCGCACAGATGTCGATAACGACTATACGGCTACCAACAAGGCTGATCTTTCACTCATCGTCCACAGAGGCGCCAAACATAGTTCAAGCGATAGCAGTGCTTAAGCGTACGGCAGCGACCAATACTTACGAGTCTTACCGTATCCCGTCGCCGTCGGAGTACATGCAAGGGCGCGTGACATCAGACATGCCTTCCATGAAATTCTATGAATCCTCTTGCACGAACTTCCCGGTTTCGTAACTAATAGAGTACCAAAGATACGTTGTCTTTTTTTCGGTTATATTCCATTTCTATATTTAATGCGATTTTTAGGAAAATATAGAAATGACAAAATGCACGGAAGCAGTGTACCAAGGCGTCTACCAAAATGGGCATTGCCTGTAAGAAAATGGACAGACTGTGCTTCGGGGAAGAAGAATCTCACGGTGCTCTTCAAATTTCTGTTATTGGTTTCGATGAATAGTCTATAAGTGGATTCGATATTTCTAAACATTTTGCTTGAGATGGAACTAATTCGCCAAGGATTCCGTAAGATTCAAAGTTTTGCGCATTGATGACATGTCGAAAGCATTAACTGTAATCCACTGGATTTATTCTCACTATTACGCATGCTTCGTTATAGGAACGCAGTTTAAAAAGTATACGTACCTTAGGAAAATGCGTTCAGCAATGCATCTAACAAATATTTGATAACGTAGCAACAATACACCCGTCTGGTACAGAGTTTAGGACGAACAAATCAAGCTGGATGGAGTAACAGGTCTAAACGTGCGGAATCAATCAATCAATCAATGGAAAAAGGAGCGGCGTATGGGTGACCGCCTACTTGAAATGGGAAACGACCGCGCGAGAACAACGAGGCATGCGACGAAGTCCCAGCTTGGACATCACGCATTTTTTTACGTGAAACCAGAGAACAACACTAAGATAACCTAAGAGCGGTAATACAACAGGTCAATCTACCGTGTAGATTGTATAAACGTGACAATATATATATATGATGAAAATTATCATGAAGGACTACTACATTGTAAAAATCTATTATGCGACACAAGCAGAAGACAAGATCCACTTTTGACTATTTCACAATGACACGCGAAGCATAGTGTACGATATAAATGCTCACTATTATCATGCACATCACGGTAAAAATGTTTGACGTTATGATGATAGGATTGCACGTATACACCCATCATAGCGCGTCTTCTACAGGATGGCTAGCCGGACACCCAGATACAGACCAGGTGCGAGCGTACGCCGATCTGAATAATACAACAGATCGGTATCTGTTCACTGCTATTAGAATGGATATCGTGGCGCCTATTAGCAGAGGCTCTAAAAAGTTCATTTGAAAAGCTTCCAGCTTGTGTAATTCTGATATGGATAATAACTGAAAAGGATACTAACTTACACATATACTTTACCATGGAGGAAATACAATGTGTACTTCAGATTGCAGTGAAATAATACCATAACAATATAATCATAAGAATAATAATGCGGCAACACGTTCACTATTATCCAGTATTAGTTAATAGCAACAATCACTTATTACTTTTAGTTTTTCCAACTTGAGTGCTTGATGTTTTTATGAAGGCTGTGGTAAGGAATCCGATGCGATTTTTTTGTAGTGAACACTACAGCCATTTTGAAACGAAGAAGCATCAACACGAGACTATAATTATTTAGACTTGGCACTCGTGAAGTTCCAATGAACGAATACGAAACAGATTTATCATACGTGAATTTAAGCAAATCTGTTAGTTACTCGTCCCTCGATTAATTCGTGCGGTAAACATCGAACATGCTCGTAATGCTACACAATTTATATAACTAAAAAATGCTAAGGAGGTTATAATGTAACGTTCTTTATCGCATATAGTACATGCGGCTTGACGTCAGCCGTGTAAGTTGACATGGGATGACAAATCATTGTCTGAAGCTAGTGGTTAAGAAAATGGAGATGCCGTCGCTTGCTAGAAACTTATGTCGATCTAACTTAATAGTAGGTCGTTATCATTTCACTTAACGTTAGCAAAGTACGTAGATTCATGTCACTTTATCAGCAAATACTTAAAAAATAAATTCTAATCTTCGCTCAGCGTCATTATCCATCGTAAATGTTGTGCTAAACCTATAAATACGTTCCGAGCAACGATATGCATACACTTACTATTGATCATATACGGCCCACTTCAGGACACAGAAGTGACCTACACATTTTTCTATTCAACCATGCCCATTCTCATTTTCGCCGTTCAACCTTATCTTCGATTGGCAAAGTTCCTAATAACGCTGGCGACCACCTGAAATCCACTTTTCTGCATTTATCTTCCCTAGAGTCTATCTCATTCGATATAGCGCAAAGACGTCACGGCGACAGTGAGACGCGCGTACGTCTTCATGCGAACGAACGAACGAACAAAATTGAGGTGGGGAATCGAAATGTACTGAATCTCGATTCGGCTGCAAATGACGATATTCAGTTTTTTTATTTCGGTTCCTTTCTTTCGTTGCGGTATTTTTCTTGGCGGCGCCATTGCCGTTCACTGTCTTTTCTCTCACAGCATTCGTCATTTGTCGCTACTGAATATTCGTATTGGCGTAATGTTGTAGTCGTGATTTCAACGCCGGTTGTGAACTTGGCTTTTCAGTTCATGCCGTTATGGCTTCCACGGTGGCTGTTATTGTTGTTAGTAAAGGTGATCGTGGTTATGGTGACAACAGCGCTATCGACGATAACAATGGCGACGGAAGGAAGGCGGAGAGGCCAGCTGATCATTTTTGACATAAACATTTCCCGTTGTTATTGCAGCGGTCACTTGCGTATGAGATTTCGCCGTTGCCTCTATCGCATAGCTCATGTAGGGCCGCCGTTGCTGAGAGGGCAGCGGGCGTCGGCTACTGTGGATTACGGTCCGCCATCTCATCCGTAATGCAGTAGGCTTGCGACCCAACTCTATCTATATGCTGTCTTTATCACCTACCTTTCAGGTGAAGCTAACGGCGGCGTCGTCACGTCTCCGTTAGCCATGGCGCCACAGTAGACGTGTTTGTTGTTATGTATGCGCATTCAACAGTGAAACGCTGTGAACTCTCTTCGTCCCAGCCCATTTGAGGTGCTCAGATATCTGTTCCTATGTGCTTGTGCCTGTTCGGTATGTGTGTGCGCTGTGTCATTGAGTCATGTGCGTCTCAGCGGCATAACAAAAAGCCAGTAAACAGTGACATCTCCCTTTTCGCAAGCTGTATCTTCTTCCACGACACGCCTGTCTACCTTCGTATCATTATAACTGCTACCACTACTATAGCTACGATGGCGGCATTAAAGAGCAGACGAAATATGACTTTTTCGTCGAAAGAGGAATATTTTGTATGTTGGCACTGGCATCGATGTTGACGCTTCTGCCGTTGCTGACGACGCTAATAATATGGATCTGCTAGCGGTATTTGTTATTATGTATTTCATCTTCTCTGTTTTTTTTCAATGTTCATTCTGTGCTCTAACTTCTGCATTGCACTTTGCTACTATTTGTAGTCATATGATCAACAGCGTCAATGCAGGTGCCAAGACAACGTGCAATAGCACGATACATAAATGACAGCTTGGAAAGCACACGTCAGGTGTTGGAAAAAGTTATGGCACGTCATGCCAAATGGTGGACGAGTGAAGAACGAGAAAGTAAACCGAAATTTTTGCGCTTGGATCATGAAATATTGTTTGAACCGTTAATAAAAATAAAAAAAAAAATAGCACCAGGGATGGCTATAGACATGGGAACGTAGACGGACGATTCTTAGTTAGATATTTTCGCTGTTTATAGACTCTACTCGGCGGTCTCTCCGACTATCCAGTATGAAATTAAATTAGGTACAGGTATCAATTTAACTATAAACAATCCTTACGGCTACGTCAGCATGAAACAACTCGATACGAAGTCCAGAATTGTTTTTAATGAAACGGGTCTTTTTCTTATAATCGGTAGCGATATACATTGCATCATAGCGCGAAATATGATTTTTTAATCGCAGTCTGCTATTAGATCGAATATATTTCGAACTCCATTGAATACATAAGCAAAGTAGAGAAGTTCCAGTTCTACGTTCTGCAGCCAATATCAATTGATGAAGAAAGAGTGAACAAATAGTATTGCATAACTATATATCATGTACTTTTTGATTGTTTGTTTTGTCTTTAGTAATAAAAGTGGCCGAGAATCAGACGCGAGAATTTATTATTTTGGTTTCCTATACAAATGTGAAATTCGGTTTTAAAATAAAATATAAAATAAAAATTCTGAGTTTACAGGCACTAATGGGGTAACTTTCCTTCAGTACGGCCAAAAAAAGCACCCTCAACAAAGGCTTGACTCGGATAGTGTCCGAAAGTTGAATGTATTTGATCTATCGTAAGTTGAGCGAACCTTAAATTCTAAATTAAACTGATCGGAAAGCTATAAAAGCCCTCGACAATCAAACAGTGCCTAGAGAAAATGGGACTAAACTTTTCATCAATCTAACTACATGCATCAGCGTGTCCCGGACGGCGTAAGAACGTGACATACGAACTTCCTAGTTCCACATTGGAGGCTTGTCGCCACAAAAAAGACACTGACATTTGGGATCGGTTTGGGATACGTTAACGGTCGGAATAGCACACCGAGACATGAGTCTATAGAAAACTATCCTTGCAAAGAGATGATCAATTGAATCAAACGGTTTTTACAATGAATCTACTTTGCTATGTCTGTTCTTGAATCAAGATAGATAAGACGTTACTCTCTCTAACACTCAAGGTTATTTGTGTTACTATCAAGTATATTAATACAGGTTAATTCTTACATGATGCTAGCACCATTCTTTCACACTATGTGGCCATTCATGCTGCTATTTGTATTTATTTAGTTATACGCTAATCGTCAAGTACTAGCAGCGCCGAGCAGACCGGAGCACATGGGAGAATACGTGGACGTATTTGATAAGCTCTCAAGTGTACCCTTCACCCATATCTCATTGAAAACCAATAAAAAAAAGGGCCGAATCAGGTACTGGCTATAGCAAACGCGTCCCCCGCATCGTCGTTATGTCGCTATAAATATGAGAGCGTGAAAGGGTATAGGAGGCAACAACATCAGTAGCAGTAATAGCATTACGGGCCACGGTCAATGTCTGGCCGATCCAGGCGTTGCTATCCTATCGAACGTCTCAATGTGTGAGAAAAGGGACTTCTGGTCTACGCGGCACTGAGACCTACCGGATCCGCTGGTTTTCTCCTGACTGACGGTGTTTTTCGGATTAGCGTCGGCTGTACGGACGTTATCTGCAGACGAGAAGCTATCGTCGGAGATTGTCCACTCGTTTATGAGGGCATAATGATAATAAAAACGGTGTCGTCTATTTATTGTCAATTTTTATTATTATGCTGGCCGCTCTGCTGTTGTCGCCGCCGCTCTCGGTGGCATGGAATAGTTCGGATTGCATGTAGTCGAAGGACATTTCGTCGAAGCTCTGAAGTCGATACGTTTATGTACCGTTCTTCGACGAACTGTTATCATTATTATGAGTTGGTGTACCATTAGTGATGCTTTGCTTCGCAACGTGGTGTCGCCTGCTGTGAGTGACGACTCGTATTTAGCTGGAGTTCAAGTGAAGCTGCCATTATTGAACGCACTGATGCTGCTGAATCCTAAATAGAGTTAAATAAGGATGGCGAGATGAACGGCTGCGTTCAATTGTTAAGAGCCGTAAGAGGTCATCGAAATCCCAACCAAGACGTGCTTGTCATAGTATAATATCTGCATTCAAATCAAGCCAGAGACATTTGGAGTTACGGCAAGAAAGGAACACCCTGAACGCCTTAAATGTAGTGAATAAGTCGCTGCTGCTTAATATCTCTTCGTCGAGTTGTTGGGGGTCACTTATAGAGTACGAGATCTGCTAAGCTCAGTTATGAAGTAGCGAACTATTAATTGACACGACCTTAATACTTAAGCTATATATGCATATATAGAGTACGCAAACCAATGAAGTAACCAACCTTCGCCGGTAGTGTTCAATTCATTCAATTTCTCTCTTTTATTTGTCTTCTAAATGCATTTTGTTCATGGACAGTTATTCTTGATTCAGGGCCAAAGGGGACAGAACAAAAAAAAACAAAAGGGAAAGTGTTTCCCAGAGAACGATGTCTACGTAACTTTCCTAAACGTCGTGTCATACGTATGCCGTGGTCCACAACGTTTCTTTGATTTCCTAAGCTAAGTGACGCTAACGCCTGTTTTCTCTAATATTCTCGTCGATTTCAACAGAGAGTTGAAAATTTTGACCCTTTGTTTGGTTCAATAAGTAGGCGGCAAACAGTGTCGAAATGCGCCGACCAATGACTTGGCCGGGTGATCTGCATCCTTCCTCATTAAACGACCCGCTCTTATTCTTGCCTAGTTCCGCGCACGATCGTTTAATACGCTCGTTCCGCTAACGGTCAATTCCAAATGCTCTCCACAAACGAATAACGGTTGCTAGGCGAAAACTCCTTCGAAGGCTCTTTTGAAATCCTAACATCACAGATGATCCAATTATCATTACAGTTTTACCATAACATTTGCTTTCTATATAAACGCTAATGCTCAAATTGGACATCCTAATGCTTTCAATAACGTCGAGCCATGTGTACAGCTAATCGCTGTGTTACTTTTTTATGTCTGGGTTAGTAGACGGATAGCCAAACCTTTTGTGCTTTCTAGTGGATATAGATGGCATAGGCATTAACCAACCGGTCGGCCAAAGGATGGCGCCATCAGCTAACCATGGCACTATTATTCTTTATGAACAACTCTCAGGCGTCAAGGCACAGGCCATGTGCGATAACCTTTACTAATACTTACGAGCAAACGAATTTAATTAGGTGAATTTCCAATGAGTACTTTATATTAAAATATCGCTTAAGGCATCGTAAATGTTTATATACACACTGAATATAGAGTTTGTAGTATAGTAAGTTTTCGGTAACTTCTTTACAGTTCTCTGCAGTGGGCGTTCAGCGTCTATTCAACCGTTCGTCTATTGAACGTTCCGGCGTGCTAGTAAATAGTAGCTCCGAGATAGTGACGCCGCTGCTAAGGAAACGAGAGCCGCGCATCGACATCGATCACTGTCGCCCATTCTAATGATAATAATAAAACCAATAACGAAACTAGTAGAGTTTAGTAAGCTTATTTTGGCGTCAGGAAATGTATATGAATCTAATCGTGCTTCATTTGAAATATACAGGAAACAACAAGGTATAAATCTAGCCTCACGGTCGCCCATCAATTAAAGCAAAACTTAGCTCCCCCTAATGATGTAATCACTACTACTACTACTACTACTACTACTACTACTACTACTACTACTACTACTACTACTACTACTATAATGACTTTTTTGCTCATGTAACATAATAGATATGTAGGCATGGAGCAAGCTGTACATCTAACGCACTCATCATAATTATCCACTATTATATCCATGGCAAACTTGATTGAACTTTGGAAGAGCGGAGTGTCATCTTTCAACTGGTTAACTCTCATAGGCACAAACTGTATAACGAGACACTAAGTTATCTAGGACAAACACAACATGTTTTGCATCCGATGAAATCGGGGTCAGCTTCAAGAATAACTAGGTGCAAAAAATATTGCAACGAATAATGCCAGCGCCACAACGGTCATCATTCGTTCTTAATAGGACACGTTTGCGCATGCAAAGCAACACCATATATCAGGCATCGGTAAATGCCGGAAATCGAAAATAAGCGGTGGCCCGTCACCCGAAGTGGGAAAGAAAGGTAAGTCCGTGGAGCGCCTTTTACAGGGAAGGGGCTTTTCGCTAAATCATCTTTTGACAGTTTGAGCATCTTAATAGGACGGATTAAGCAAAAGTAAATATTGCAGTCTTTGAGAGAGATTGTCTGCTGTTAATTTTACTGCAGAATTATACCGGTTTAACATTATAGTAATGTGTTTTGGGAGTGCAATTTCTTAACCTCTGCTCGTCTTGTTCAAATAATCAATCGATATCTTATTATACTTCTTAGAAATGTCATATATATCTTTGTGTATTTCTCTAACTGAATATTTCCGTTTGTTCCAGATTCGATGCTAACAGGCTTATGGATCAAGCGTAGTCGTCAAAGTCGTTGTAAAGTCTTTCTGTCTAAATAGATACGAATCGTTGTCAAACAGCTCAACGTGTCTTATATAATTTATCGAGCTGCGTAACCTCTTATTTTAGCGGTGATAGAAAAACGTAGCTGTTAGCTATTATGTTTACGGTTCTAGAATTCAGAAGCCCCAGTAACGTCTCATACAAAGAGCGTCAGGTGACAGTCCGCGAATGTTGCCTGAAGCCTACGCCAATTGCCCTCCCCATGTATGAGATTGACTATAAACGTCCAAAAAAAAGCTTTAGAGAAAAGCGAATTAAAAGACGTGAAAACCACGAACCCATCGTTCAAAGTGTTTCCGCTCCATTTTCAAATTCTACATTTAGCGGATTCTACATTTAAGTGTTAACACCTGGCCGCATCCTGCCATTTCTTCTATCTGCCATATCTTCTATCATTTCTTCTCTGGTACATCCTCAAGTAATATTACATTTTTGGTATAAATTGAACATTTTTGTCCCAATCATTTAGCTTGTATAGTTGCAATAGCTATTTTTTGTAGCCATTACGTTCAGACATATGCTAACCCTATGGCGTTATAAAATAATATCATATATTGTGATGTTTATATTTGCAAATGTACTGCAATAACTTTCTGTTACTTGACAAGTGTGAAATGAAGGTTCGTTTACTGTGCAGTGATTTTTGTTTACCCTTTATATGCGTCGTCACATTGAGATCTGCAAAACGTCCACCTGTCTCCATAACAACGGCGACATTAATCCACCCAGAAGGTGGCCAAAACTATCGACGCTTAAACACGTCTGGCTTTAATCTCTACATTGAGCATAGTGGACTGGTGACTACAGTTTGTGCTGTCTAACATGGGTTGAATTAGGGCATGCCATTTCCTCTATGACTATATTGCCATATGTTTGGCCTGAAAGAATACCGAAGCGAGAAATGCTACCGTTCATCCATCTACGCAGCACGGAAACGTCCAGTCAACTTGGTTGGTTGACGCAGCGGACGCGCGATAACGGAACGGCTACGTGGTAAATGGATGATATCGTTGCCACTCCTCGTAGCCGCCAACGTCGAAGGGAGCTCCGTCGGCTAATTAAACAACTCATAATTGAATTTTCTTAAACGTCTCCGCTCGAATACAGTTAAGGGTGGCATTGTAGATAATCGGTGCTACGGGAAACCAACCTTTCTAAACGTTTTTTTCAAATACAAACATATTACAAGGCACCGCACTGCAATCAATAAGCCTAGGATTTAGCCAATAATGACTCTATGATAAAAATTGCGATCTCTTACTAGGCTTTCGGACGCACCTCGCCCTGTGCGGTTCGATGATAAAAGAAATCTTCGCTGGCCATTTACCCCCTTCCCTCATCTGGTTTCAACATGGTCGCGCAATCAGACGAAGCTCGTTCAATCTGATCAAAATACAGATACATTGTGCTTCTTAGACCCTTGAACTCTTGTATAAAAACAAGCACAAGCCCCGGTGAGCTCCACAACATTTTTAGGAAAGCCAAGCGGTTCGAGGTGAAAGTGAAGAGGGACCACCGAATGTAGTCGGACATAGGCAAAGCTGTACAGAATTCAGTTGATCACATTAGTACTTGATAAACTGAATAAGTGTTAGCTAAAACATGACTAATCCGATAGAATAATATGTTGTTTCAAATCAGCTCTCAGATTGATCTTTTGAGAGACATGCTTGGTTAAGGTAAGTAGGTTGCTAGATTTAACTAGACTCTCCAACAGACCCATGGTGCGGCACAGCACGGCACGGCAGCCGTATATTGCCGGCCTTTGGCAATAGCGCTTTCCAAAGTCTTACATGCGGTTACAGTTATCGTTTCGAAAAGACTGCTTTGAGTTATGAGAGATTTCTAATGGCACATCTGATGATCTCACTCATATCTTAGCAGGCGAGTAGTTTAGAGCCGAACGCATCTGATTCCATTGTAGTTTACCGTGTGGATTTCCAGCAATATATTTCGTGCCTCTCTGGCTTTAGTCACGAGTATTGTGGATGACTTGTCGATAAGTTTGTCTCATTCTGACAGCCGTCTTGTCGCTGGTGGGGTCAGCCTGTTTTTTTTTTATCGTATTGTTAGTTTATTGACTAGTATGATGGAGCCAAAATGTCAGCTGAATCAGGACCGTCAGATAAAATACAATCTCCTTGATATAAAACGTTATATGTATTTTACCTGTTCGTACTTTAAATAAGGTACATACACGGTACACATACTCAAACCCGATTTCAGCGAGAGCCCGTGTTCAGCATTTGTTCGCTATTATAGTTAGTGTATACGTCCGAAAGCAACTTCGTTCTTTTGCGCTGGCTGTTGGCCTGGAGGGCTACTCAGACACCCTGTGGTTAATGTTTCACATGTGGATGTGTACGTTTGTTGTCTCAGTCACCGTACTGATGCTGTGTGTTTCGTGCGCGATCGGAAGACAACAATATCTCCTGTCAAGGATGGGGGATATCAGCTCGGCAGCGGCAGCAGCAGCAGCAGCACTACGAATAGATCATAGGACAGAGTCGTGTCGTGACTTGTTGTGGCGCTATTGACTTTTAATGCTTGCCTGATAGCACGGCACCACAAGTACGAGAGCTTCAGTTTCAACCATGAAACTGTTAAAGATCGAAGAAATTTCGGAACGAAATCCGACCTCGCAAAAAGAAAAGAGCACATTTAGTAGACATTTTCAGAAAAGGTAGGTGGCATTGCAGGGCAAAATTGAGCTTGTGGTGGCTTTTCAGTGGCAGTGAGTGCTATACGTTACAACAACAACAACAACAACAACAACAACAACAAGTGAACAATTTTCCCTTCAGATTTGTAGCCAAAGATATGTCGCCCAGGTACACCTATCTCTCCCTATACGCGGTTGTATAAAACCGGCACCAGATAATGTACGACTGTCAAATGTTGGACGGGTGCAGCCGCCGCTGCTGATGAACACCAATGTGATGTTCGCGTGTCCGCGCGTATGAAAACACAATAGCGTCAGACGGCGAAGTCTGGCCTATTCCGTTCGAATTTTTTCCATGTACAAATCATTGTGAGGTAGTTACAATGCTACTACTATTGTTGCACTATATATTGCAAAACAATAGAAGCATCTACATGTACGCATACACTAAATGTCGATCTTTTAATTATCTAATTCAACTAATTTCCATAAATAGCATATACGCAATAGTAGAAATGAATGGACGTATTTACTTACTCATTTGGTAACTTGTGGCAGGTTGTTGCTTTAGTCACAGTACCGCATACTGTTCTTAACTGTGTCTTATTAATTACCTTAATGTTTAGTTAAAGACAGGAGCTAAAATTTGTCTGTTACGTCTATTGGACCCGTTGGATATATTGGAGGGTTTGTTTTGAATCTTTTCAATTCAAGCTGCGCAAGAGATGAAAGCTCTAGCATTAAATAATCTCATTACAGGTAATTAACTGCCCTAGGTATAAGAAAACTGGCTTTAAAAATGGTCGTGTTCATCAATACGGCAGAGGGTTGGGCCTGGTCCGCCCTCAGGCGTACGTGCGTCCCGCAGCTGCGCCACCTCGGAAGACCCTTCTCAAACACTAACATTCATTGCAATACTTGACAACTCTATAGATACATGATTTTTTGCGCTACATTATTATTATTATTATCCGTGTTCAGCTGTATGAAAGACATCCCGCAGCTTTGTTGTGCGGATTCTTTTCTGATAACGTCCGATGACATTTGCTGCCGAGCAGTCTTTGTAAATCCAAACTGGACGATGATGACTAACGGAGGTGGAAGGCATGATACCTTTGCACGAAATCGTGACTTTTACAGGAGTTCAACTTTAGCTTGTTCTGTTAGGCCTCCTTGTAGGATTCTTCGAGTAAGCCATGTTTTGTTGATAACGCAGACGTTGATGAGTATTTTGATGACTAGATTCGTTATCCGCTGCGTTCAAATGACCCGATTGAAGCACGAGCAATGGATTGAACTGGCAGAGTCGTATGGAAAATGGATACTATTCTCTACAAACACCGTAGCCATTATTTCGATTTTTGATAAATGCGTTTTACCCTATATACTTATTTTTCTGTTGTATTAAACCTTTGATCTACGTGAAAGTATATATATTTTACTTTTGTTTTAACTCACTTAGATCTGCTCGCTGCATGATGTCATCGACAACATCTCAGATCAGCTATATCTACCACTAAAAAAGGTTCCATGAAGGCCGTATTAGCGGAAGAATATAAAATGCCTGGTTAAGGGGGCAAAAATTACACAATGATTTTTTTATACCACTGCGTAACTTTGCCGCTCCAAAATTAGTTAATTTCATGTCTGTAATCATTTTCGCAGCAAAATGTGTCTGTCACGCTGACTTCTTATGATAATTCATTTGCTTTATCATATATCATCAGAAGATTAGGTTACTTAATCTAAAGTAAATGTCGGTGAAGAAAACCCCTGCCAATACATTATATTACCATATCTCGCTGTCTGATGCTATGCTAAACGGCAGTCCTGAGATGGAAACTCAAAAGATTTATTTTAACACAATGTATTATTTTTGACCGTTTAAGAACTAACTTATATAGAGAATATTAAAACTATATTGGCGTCTAAAGCTCTGCTGCAAATGGGGATTAGTCTAGACGTTAGTCTAGACGGTTTTTTAATGTTGTGCCAGAATATCTGCACGTTTCTGATTTAGCACCATTTGCATTCTAAGTCTGCTAGTTTACCATCAGTCGAAGCATATCCAACGCCTTGCTGGATCCCAAAAGGAAATGACATTTCAGTTGCCGTATGCTTTATATCCTAGAGGGAGATTTCTCTATTGAGTTTACATAATGCAGGCAATATATGAAAATCTTCTCCAGCGAAGGTCGGGTGGGGGCGTACGAACAAAGGCTTCAGGACAGATGAAGCACGTATAGAAACATTAATCTACAACGAACTGCTATTAACACCCTTAAACATTTACATTGTCTTTAACGGACAATAGGCTGTTTAGAATGTTTTCGCTTATTGTTCAAATCCGAGATGAATACGCGAGAACAAGCAGATAGCTTGCAATCAGTTCTTTCTCGTACAGCCCCCAGATAAATATCCTAGTGTTACGAAAAGCTCCCCACTACCCCGCCAAGCAAGAAAGGAATACCTTCATCTTCGTTTTTCATTGGCAAATCGTCTAGATGGATCATCGTCATGAAATTATAGGCATTATGTAATACCACAGGAAGTTCTTTTTTTTTTTAACCTCAAACCTCGTGAGTTTGAATGAAAGCTTCGTATCGTCCGTTTTTCATGGCCGGCTTGCGTTTTTTGCAAGTTACATTTATAAGAGAAAAGGTGGTTCGTACAGGACACTGTCACTGCTCGTATATGGTGGATGATTCCTGCCTCTGTAGGAAGCAGGATGAATCCTTCTACCAGATGTTCTGCTGTTCGAACTTCTGGTTCATCGTTACTCGTGAAAAATAAGAAAAGCTCATTCTCCTTCCCCGTCATCTCATAATACCCCTATGAAAATTACCGACTCCTGTGTGAATGGATGGATTGTATTTAGCTACATTGTTTCGACTAAACAGAGCAGTCAGCAAGGGGGCAAGCTAGCGCACGTAAACACAAGTGGATACCAGAGCTAACCATTATTGCGCGTCACTGCACTCTTTTCTATTGTAAAACGCTTCTTTCTTACAATCTTCTGTGAGCTCACAGCCACTACTCGTGGGTCTAAAATTCATCAGACAGCTAGGGAAGTGCCTCACGAGTCTTGTCGAATGTGGCTTGGAGGAAGGCCCATGCCACCGGGCACAGTCGCGTACCTAGACGCACGGCCACGGCGAGCCGAAAACAGCCCAGTCGAGGCCGATACTGATGTGAGCAAAATGTGGGTCTAATTTTTGTTTCTTGGCGCTCGTTGCAATTACCGTTGTGTGAGTATCAGTATGATTGTGTCGCTGTGTTAGGCGGGGACGTGTAGATGGCTGTATTTCACTCAACTGGGATATCCACATTTCTGTGGGTTAGTATGTACGACTGTACGTTTAAGCTGGTGTATACTTGTCTACGTATCTGTACATGAAAAGTTGTTCAGACATTTGTTTAAAATTCATATCATTCACCTAACATAAAAATTATCCATGTATAGAACAATTTGGAACTGTGCTGCAATACGCCCACGAACCAAGCTAACTTGCCCGCGTGTATCTTGGTCGAAATCGATTCAATGCCCAAATGAAAAACAGAGGACACGCTGAGAAGTCACACGGGTGCCATTCCGACATTTAGATCTCATCATTGGTATTTATAACGTCTACGCGCGCAATAGACTGCGGGTCTCATTGGCTCTTTCTTTCTATCTCTGTTGTTTCATCCACACTAGTCCCGTTCCTCAAACGGTCGCACCAGCTCTCCGGCCACGACTGGTTTCATCGCCATCAGCGCCATGGCTGCTGCTACCACTAGTACCGGCGGTGCTAGCAAATTTCCCTCGTAACGTGCGCGTCATAACTTTCGCTAACCCCCGTTGGGTGGCAAAGCCAGCGTAGTGCCTTTTTGTTTCGCACACGGTTCGCTTGTAAAACTTTGCCTCCTTGCAGAGCAGAGCTACTTGTAGTAGTAGTAGTAGTGGTAGTGTGGTAATAGGACCACCCGGGCGTCGGATACCCTGCCGCCACGGCAGCCGCGGCGCCGGCACCATAGCTGCCTCTCCCTCTCAATTCATAATGGTTCTCCGTGGTAGTGTACGCTGTTCTGTCCCAGTCCCCAGTAGCGGTCCGTTTCTCGTCGCAACGACCCGGTGCTAACCCCACTTCAACCTGCCATCTTTAACCTGCCGTGCCGTCTTGCTAAGCCTACCTCACGCCCGTTGTGTAGGCTGTTGGCCAGGTCAAGGCTTAGCGTAGCTCTATGTGACCCCTATATCCTTAGTCCTGAGTAGTGGTAGTAGAAGCAGCGGCAACTGTAGGTTAACAGCTAGCCAGCCAACTACTTAGCTCAAAGCTCTATACACCTTACGCAGGTGGTCACCGTGGGCCCTATTCCATATATAGCGTTCGCTAGGTCGCTGGCTCGCCGCCCTACCAGTCATAACCTTCTTTCAAAGGCGCTGTTGGCATTTATCCCTCATCTTGTGAGCGGTGTTTTATCATTTCCGTCCCCTCTGACATCCTCTATGCCCGACTTTTCGTCTTTCGTTCGCGCTATGGCGCTATACAAAGCCTTCGTGCGCGTTCTAGCGGACCATGATCGTCGTAAAATCCTTTTGTCAAAACCCAGATGTGCTAATAGACGATGAGAAGCAAAGTTGTTCGGCCTCTTTTGTCACAAAGGGTCACAAGCATGAGCTACAATGTTATCTGGAGTTGGCAACATATATATACGCGTGTCATATATATATACAGAAGCTGAAGTAAGCGTGCTCACGGCCAGTATAACCGTAAGAAATGACGAAAAACTCTTATATTAAAGTTAGCCAACGCGATATAAAAAAGTTACACCAATAAGTTAAAAGCTAGGAAGTGAAATGGGAATATTTTTTTCGAAAACGATTCGGGAATAACTCGAGTCACCTAAGTATAGGGTAGTGTTGGCGCTGACGTTATGGTCAACATTATTGAGGCGCTACTAACCCGCTGATAAGGTTATTGGGCATACAATTGTATCGCAACATTGACGCCCCCCATGGTAAATCAGCTAATATTTCTTGAGAAATCACGCGAGCGAAAGGAATCGGGATATAAAGAATAGGGAACGGATTAAGTATAATCTGTTCGGCTCATTTGCCTGTCACATGGGCTCGATTAATATTTATACATTATCCATAGTAATAACATTATTTGTGCCTGCAATCTCATTGCACTGATGCCATTTGTTCAGCCTGTAGTGTTCCCATCTCGTACATATGTAGCTACGTATAAATTACGTGAACAGAAAATGTTCTAGACACCCTTATCGTATGAACAGTCCGAAATCATGTAACCCATAAAATACAACTGATAATAATAATGATCGTATAACATTATTTCGATGAGATTCTGTTTCAGATTGCCAATTTACCGACCCAACACACCCTGGTCGATATACTTGTATGGGTACGTGTGTGTCTGTGCGAAGGCTTGCTTCATAAGGTAAAGGTTGCTGCTTTTCGCGTACGTTTCAGGCCTAGGATTTAAGTTAGGTAAATCATTTGTTGTGTGCTATCGTCGTCTATGAAGACAGATGCGACCCAGGAGATTAGAGACTTGAAAAGAGATATATTAACCAATGCAAATAAAATCCTGCGTCGACTGTTCGGACAAAATCGACGCACAGACGTAAACAATCGACACAGATTTGCCCAACGGATATATATACCTATAGTTGACCTCGTTGTTACGCGGTGGCGACACTGGACGTCAACGTCAAATGAAAACGACAAAACAGTGTTTTGGCTCTTTCTATTTGGTTGCGCTTATGATTATATATTACTATATTTTATATTACCGCAACCATTAAAACAATATCGGCAACACGTATTACGCTATGTTACCAAATATGTTAAGATTCACGCTAATGTATCGTTCGTTGCTTAAGTATGGCTACCAGTTTAAGAGACCGACCCAGGCATTTTAAAGTGACCTTGTCAAACGATCCGTTCGTAGTGTCCGTAAGATACCCAAAAGTGGCGACAATGATATGTTAATGCTTTGCGGTTCAATCGTTGCCTTAAAACACAATCCGAATATTATGCTTCACATGAAGATATGGATGCCCAAACTATCGACAGCTAGCCACATGTATCTTGTACCTAGCTTGCCAAAAATTACCGTTTTCAGCAAAACCATCTTTCTTTCTTTTAAATGAGTTTTAAGACATCGCAGCTCGAATCTGTTTTCCCTTTTCTGTAGAGAAGACGATTCATCCTAGTGTACGTTCTATCGAAAGTCAACGTACGTACGCTCGTTCGTTCGTCCGCAGTGGACGTCTTATAAGTACGCCACTGACACAGCGAATGTCTTCATTGTTATAGCACAAGATTGTTCAGGAACGTGTTTACCATGCTACTACCGAAATTGTCGATAACCAAATTGCCGTTGCGCTGTTGTTCCGGCCGTCTACTTAGAGAAAGCCCTTTTTGTATTACGGTGATAGCGGCTACCGTAAGTCTAACGGCAGTACTTGTACGGCCGTTGCCCTGTGTATCGCCAAGAAGACCGATCGACCGAATAAGTTGTTCGTGAGTGTCGCTCATGAGCTTTGACGTCTTCAGCTATCGTCTTGGTCGTTGTCGTGAGAGAGAAGAACACGAAAAATTATACTGAGCTTAGTAAAGTTGCCGACCGGCACGAAACAAGGCTTGCTGAGTGGAGCGGCCCCATAGGCTTGATGCGCATCTTCCCTCTTGGTAACTTCTGTGTGGTCCCCTGAGGTGAAACTGTGAAGAACGAGGACACGTTCGATTGATCACAGTAAGAACGGGAAATCGAACGAACTGTGTACAGCTAGCTGTAGTTTACGTGCAATGCACGCGAAATTCTGTCTATTTGTGCTTTTTAGAAGATAAAAACTCGATACGTTTATAAAAGTAGGTACATTTACGCAGGTTAAATAGCATGTCTGTGCACTGCTCGAAGATGCTTTGTCTGAGCACAATCGATACGACCAGCATCACCATATTATTGGTAATTTGCTTAAGGGGAACCCTTCTCGTTTAAGCCAATAGTTGTGTCTAATAATATACCTTCTCCTATTACATTTACTACAGATGAACCTTATTACTGGGTGTAACCCCCCCCCCCCCCGCCAATGGCATACGCTGTACAGAGGCGTTATGAAATGCGATAGATATGTTCTGTTTTTGAATAAATAAAATTGGTCCCGGCTAAAATTCATATAAAATTTAAACTTGTGGGCAAAATCAACTTAGTTCAAAATTGGAAAATACTTTTTCTATACTGTTATCTTTTGTCGAATCTGTTGGAAAACTTGTGATCTAGTTGCATGGAAGCGAGCTAAAGCTTTACTCGATATAGTATTACTCTAGGCAAAAAGAGCGTTCAATTGGAGTCAAACAACAATAGAAAAGGCTACCTGTTTCGGACCGGACTGAAAATCTATGTTAATGGCAAAGGGAAGTACACCGTTCTGATAACGGGACTTAGACCTGCAAAAAGCAAGGACCAAAATGAGGCCAACATCACTTGCCAGTAACAACAATGAAATATTTCAGCTCAACAGTTCTCTAGAAGGTATGTTGATAAAATTGAAGATGCCGATTTACGCTCCAGCAGAGTATATTATAGAACATATCTTTTCAACAGGTTTAACAATAAACAGGTTGTTTAGACATATCCCGACAAGTAAGAGGGTCGTTCCGTTTGACCTGGGACCTTCAGGCTTCGCTCGCACATCCCTTCTAAGTCTATGCTCCGCAAAATATAAGTCATCGACGCCGTACAATATCTTGCGTTTATTTAATATTTCCCGCAGAGAATAAGTGGTTTCGCCAATTTTGCTAATTTCTAGAAATGTAAGTGCGTATTATTTTTTACTATCCTTATTAATTATTATTATTATTTTTAATTATCTTACAATGTAACTAATATTATTACCCTTAATCGCAGATTTATTGTTGCAAGGTCCACTTAAGTAAACAGTTATGACCCGTGTTATTTAATGCATTTTCAAGTGGCTCTGTTTCACCAAAAAAACCATAAAAACATCGAATAAAAACGCATCCCTATGTATGAACTGTTATACGTCACTTAGTCCACCTAGGTCACTATAGTTTTGCGCTGAGACTGGCTTCTACCGTCCAGTAGTTCTGCGACCGTATCGCGCATAGTGACGGTTTTTGCTGCTTGAGATATTGCAAGACCTGGATGTTTCCCCTACTGGCCGCAGTGATGCTCTGCTACCGTCGCTGCTGCGACAGCTGCTTCTATTGCTGCCCCTTTAGTACAATGCCCCTTACGACGATCCAACTCTTTCTATCTTTCCCCTTCTATTTTTGCCTGTCCGGTAGTAGTGCCTGCCCATCATCCATATCCCGTTCCTTGCACATCCATGCGTCGTACGCTTTCAGTAACCATCCTTCCCGCTGGGTATGGGCGTGTGTATACACAGCCAAGGCACAGGCACGAAACGGATCATCCACAAAACGGCTGAGCGCCTGGATAAGTTCTTACATGGGGTAGTCAGTATGTGTCTGTTTATGGGTTTTGAGAGTATTGGGATCTCGTTGAAGAGTGTTGGTAAGGAACGAGTGAGAGGAGCGGAGTTTTTAGGGGACAGGAAGATCGAAAAGGCAGTGAAGCCCCTGAAAGGAATATGAAAGAAGTTTGCCCAAGGAGAGAGACAGAACCAAAAAGATGGCGCAAAAGGGCTACCACTACTAAGACGGCTGCGTTGTGGGCTGGAAAGCTGGGCCGGCAAGGAAAGATACTTTCAACAGGCAGCTAGTGTCTGTATGCTGCCCATTCTGACGGCCAGTGTCGGAAGCTGCCGCAGCGGCAAGCAGAAGCCGGTTTTCATGGTGTGTGAGATGGCCACAGCGGTGCTGGGTGTAATAGCTGTGGTGAGGTACCGGCCATCATCATCGCTCGAAGAAGCAGACTACAGATATGCATTGGTGTGCTGCGGGTATGTGTGCCTATAGGAACTCGACCCGCGATGGGAGAGGAACTGAAAGAAACAACTCAAGTGTACCACAGCAGCAACAGCTGCTTTGCCTGCCAGTCACCCATCGCCGCCTCGTCGCTGCGCTCCCTGGGGCTATTATGTAATATCGGACAGGATCGCCATCGACTGTACCACCATAGCGCCCCTGCTCACCGCCGCTGCCGTCGTCACGAGTATCTTCAATGTCTGCGTAGGTACCCTTGCGGCATATTGCTCGAGTTCACAGAGACATAACGTACAACGCGTGCAGCTGCACACGCTCTACACACACAGACTTCTCGGACATAGACCGCCTTGCTTTTGCTTGCGCTTTTTTATATTAGTAATTTTTGTTCGGTAAAAAGAATTCACTGATTCAGGCTAGCGGCCAGACGATACGACACGATGAGATAGCAAGTCCGTAGCCATGTAATATCTCCCTCTTGCTCGTCGAGAAGCCTTCAAGCTGAGACTGCGAGTCAGAATTTTCGATCTTATTATTTACGTACTGCTAGTACGTGTGGAAGGTCTTAAAAGCTATGTGTAACTGTGGATAACTAGCTTTGACAAGAAAGCGAAAACACAGTAACGAACGGCTGCGTTTAATTGTGCTATCAGATGTACTTCTCAAACAATATAAAACGCTATATTGTCATCGAAAGTGCCCTTTTTTAACCCGAAATTTTACGAGGATTTGGAAACTAGCATGCCATTTCAAGTATAAACACTGATGTGTAATGAATGTAAACCTGGCCTTTACGGTCTGTCCTAACCATCATCATAAACATTGAAATCGAATAATTTAAAACTTGTTTTATTGACACACATATTGATCGATTAATCTGAACTAGCATTTAACATCGGCAATGGGACAATTTCAATTGTATAATATAGTCAAGACAGTGCACGATCCACAGCTACCTCTGATCTTTCGATTTTACCAGTTCGACTAACAGGGCAATCTTTGAGTAAACAAGAATCAAAAGAAGGCCAACAACGAGCACAAGGCACGATACAAAAATGAATAATATTGACTGCTATTAATCGTATCAACAGAGTCATCATTGCTCACTTGATTATGAGAATAAGCGGCTGTTTTTGATGGCAGGGATTGATGACACGTATACAAGTTTATGGCAAATGTAATCGTGTTTTCCGGACCTCCTTCCGATTTTGTGTGACGATGTGCTTCGCTGAAGGGGGCGAAGAACCGTATAGCAGTCTAAGACATTGAGCTTCGTAACTTCACTAGTTAATGCATGAGGTATACAAGCTCATTAGTGATGAAACATTTATACGTGGAAACACAAAACAACTGTATAAATATTTCAGATAACGTTTTGGACCAATTAGTCAAATTGGAATGAACGTTTCGTCAGTAACAGATATTAGCTTTTTTTTTTTTTTTTTTTTATAGAAGCCTTTAAGTATAAACAGTGTTTGTGTTCCGCGCTAATAGGCACCCAATTTGCGTTACATTCAATGCATTGAGAATCCACGCAATGTTTTTCCTGATAAATAGCTACAGTAAGTAATGCTTCTAGAAGACAGACTTCACGATGGCCATACAATGCAAAAGTTAGTTAATAGTCTTCCCAAATGTTATTGATACAAAAGTTTTAGAAAGAGTCCTTCGTCCAAACTATCGCCAGTTAGGCACAACGCTAATTGGTTCCTACGGTAAATACTTATATGTAGCGATTTGAATACGGAACCATTATTAAAAGGGGAAATGTGACGTAGAAACTGGCCTAGAAAAATTGATAGAGTCGGGACCCGAGAGGTCCAACGTCTGGCTGGGATCTGTATGAGTTCGGCCCACGACAACAATATGATAGTTGAAGCAGGACTCGAAATAGTTACAGTGCCGTGCGAGAGAGAGAGAGAGCACGCTGTAGAGGACCTTTGAATCGAGTATTGGATTATAGATCAATTGGAATCAGGTCGAGAGTAAGGACTAGGAGAAACTAATTATAAAACTTATTATAGGAACGAATTATACAACATGTATAGACCACAATGTTTTCGCTAGTCTTCGAATAGGAGAAGGATATTTCTGCAGGACGTGTTCATTCGCGTCCAAAGGTTTCTGTTTGCATGAAAACGGGTTGATTGACGTGTGCAGTGACAGTGCACCAATCGTGACGGATTACAAAAGAGTAGGCCATAACGGCTCAGTTCGTGCATGGAAGTACATGAGAATGATAATACTTGTAGAAATGACTAATTAATGTAGGTTCTACTGACCTGTCTTTCACACTTAGATTTGGCCTGAATTTGAGACACTGTCTGATCAAACCGGTCGAGTCAGTTGCTAGTACTGCCCACATGGCCTGCTCAATAGGCCTGACGCCTAGCGACGTGCAGGAACGTAGCATTCACGCCCCGCCGATCAGTTCAAATAGCCTAAAGCAACTTCTTTCAGCTAGTCATCATGTTTGTCGAAAAGCTCAAGCTAAATAAGAGTTTTAAGAGAGAGCCGGTTGCAAACACTGTGTTACAGCCTGCTTGCAGTTTTCTTCTCCGAGCAACAGCGAAGAGTTTCGGCTAAAGTGATATTTACCCCTCAATGTGAGTTACTTTCTGTACAAGGCGAGTCTACAGGTCCGATAGAACACCGTGCTGTTCAGTATTTCCTCTAGTCTTCTTGTCAGTAAAGACTCGCTATAATGCAAAGGTCCTCGAATATAATACATTTCGATGAAGACACTCGTCGGCTATTTTCAGAGAGTGAAGTTGGCTCTCGACGAGCGAGCTTAGCTTATTTACTTACTTCCGCTTCATCGGGCATCTGCCTAACACTCACACCCATAGATTCCTCAAGGGACAAATTTACTCCTTGAAAGCTTCCGCGTGCCTCTTGACAGGACTAGTTTGAAATGAAAAAAACGCAGCACCCAGTTTTGTAGTATTGTAATTCTATTGACCGCCTGAAACCATTACGCCGCGCGCTCGCTTCGCTGAGGTTAAAGTAGGCGGTAACTGCTAATGTACCTTTGCCTACTCCAAGTGGAAATTTTAAGCAGAAGAAGACCAAAATTGCGCTTAATGAATTTTTTTCACGGAATATGTCATCTTGATGAGTATATAACATTTGTTTATTTGGGCAGCCCAACTGAAGTTAGCACATGGCACGTTCATATAATACGGTAAATAATATTTGGAAAGAGCGTAGACAGGCTTAGGGTAGTTTATGTTTTTGAGTAAATTAAACTTCAATTCAAAACCTGTTGAAGAATTTACTTTTCGAGGTTATATTCAGTGTTGCCTGCTGGAGTTTAACATTACCTTTCTGCAATAACAGCTCTGTTGTAGCAGACTTTCCAAGCACCTCTACCAATCAACCATTAATCCACAGAACCGTGGTTAAATATTATCGTAATTTTATGATAGATTTTCTCGGATTAGTTTGAGTAAACCAACAGTACGGTCGGCGAATTTCTCATTCAGATGATCGTACTTTGTCTGCGAGGTTTTATCATCGGCGAGTGATGGAATCTAACGAAGTGGAACATAAGGTCAACTTGTGCTCGAATCCCCGCGAGGCCCGCCTTTGCTGATTAAACAAAGGAAACTTTCCTCACGTTTT